CAGACAGCCATTGCAGCCACAAGCGGGAGCTGCTTGGCACCGGGGAGCCGGCACTGCACTACCTGCAGGGTAGGGCCCACAGCCCGTCTTCCGAGGGAGATTTTTCAGGATGAAAGTAGTGGCGGGAGACCAATCCCTTTGGAGGAGTAGAGTGAGTGGTGGCATCCGCAAACTGCTGCATTCCCACGACATCACAGTGCCAGCAGAGCACTGGAGGTGAAAACCGCCCCGTTCCCCAGCTTTCTCCCCACCCCGGCGCCCAGGCGCAATGTCCCCTGGGCAGGTCCACCCCCACTGCTCCTCCAACAGAGAGGAGAGCATCCGAAACCTCAACAGGACAAGCTCAGCAAGGCTTCCAGCCCTCCAGACCTGGATATCCTCCATGCTTAGCAGGAAATAAAAGCGGTAGGTGATGGTTATGTAGGTCCTACAGAGAGAAATGTCTTGATGCTCTCCTTTCTCCCTGCTCCCAGCCAGCCTGGGGCAGCTCGCAACCCGGTGGGGTCTGTCCCCCCACAGCCCCGGGTGCAGGAGAGGGCCCAGGGTCTTTCAGGCAGGGCAGGATGGAAACAGGATTTGCCACTTTCCTTGGAGACTGTGGTGCCACCATGGCACCGTGAGGGCCCTGGTGACTCGCCTGTCATAGCAAAAGGGACCCTGCAGGGCAGGGGAACATGGGTGGGAGGCCAGCACTGCCTGCTGAAGCCAGACCCGGGCAGAAATCCCGACCATGGCCCCTGGCCCCACTCCTTGGGCAGGCATCACCCTCTCCCTTGCACGACTCACCGGGAGCAAAGCCCCGCACTCTCCGTCCCCTGCCCAGCCGCCCAAACCCTGCAGAGCGCTCAGCTGCATGCACCCGTTTCACAGACGGGGCAAGCAGAGGCGAACTGGCCCCAGGCCACGCCCAGGACCCACCAGGATGGGCCAAGCCAGCTCCATCCCACCGCCACCACCAAGCATGCCTTCCCCTCTGTGGGGTTCCCTGCGGGGCCCCACCATGTGTCCAGGCCAAGCTTTTAAGACTTGTTTTTGGGGAGGCCCCATTTGGAGGCGGAGGAAGGAGTGCACCTCATCTCTTTGGCTCGCCTGGCACCCGGCCCCCTGAGGCAGCGCTGAACAGGGAAGTGCCAGCGCCCGCGCAGCACCCCCTGACACTGGGCGGCCAAGCCACCCTCTAGCAGCAGTGGGTTTTTAAACAGCATCAATCTTCCTACGCAAATAAAGCCTTTCTGGGATTTTCAGTGGTGTGCTGGGGGTTTGTCTCTGCCGAGGACCCTGCGGCCAGCTCCAGCTGCCGGCGCAGTGGGTTTTTAAACAGCATCAATCTTCCTACGCAAATAAAGCCTTTCTGGGATTTTCAGTGGTGTGCTGGGGGTTTGGACAAGGGCACAACAGCCCTGAGAGGACAGGAGCCCTGACTTGCGATTACATCCATATATCGTTACCTCCATGGGTGATTTTTTTCTGACATAATTGGTGGTGACTGTCGGGTTTTATCCCCCACATGGGAGATGCCAGCAGGACCGGGTGGGACCCCCCACGCAAGCTCCCAGCCCCAAATCCCATCACTCTCCTCCGTGCCCCCAGCTCTGTGGGGTGCTCCTCATGGTCACCCCAGCTCCTTTCCACCCCCTCCAGGCTTGGCCAGGGGACAGGACCCAAGATGGGGCAGATGTGGGGCCGGGGGGGCTCAAGCTCTGCGGTGGAGCTCAGACACCCGAACATGGGCAAGCATCCCGACGGGCAAGCCCCCCCATGCGGCCCCTTCGTGCCGGCTCGCTGGGTGGGTGCCAGCCTTACAGCGCTGCCAGCTGTCCTGGGGGGCTTACGCCAGCCCTGCAGTGCCATCCGGGACCGGCACTTTTGTCCCCAGCTGGCGCGGAGGCAGGCAGAGCCCGCAGCTGAGGGCCAAGCGCCCAAGCAAACATCAATCTCCCTCTGTCCTCCCGGCCAAGTTTCATAGACCGGCTCTGTTGGTACCTCGCAGCCCCGTCGCCCGCCCGGCCCCATCGGGGTCTTCTGCAGCGGGGAGGAGAAAAAGCAAGGTGCACCCATGCCAGTTTGGTGCTGGGGTTGTTCTTTAGATGGGACAAACCAAACCCCACCAAGGTCTTGCTCCTGCCCTGACCCCAAACCTAGAGAGGACATGGCCAAGGGGAGAGCCGTGAGCCGTTTCACGCCAGCGCAGTGCACCCGGTTTCTCCACTCGCTACTCTCCTTTCTCTCCCTTGCCAAACGTTAGGTCTGGGCACCCGGCACCTGTTTGAAGATAAACACTGCGGTCAGCCCTAAGCCACCCAGCTCCAGGAACCGGCACATCCTGGAAAAATGAAAATGGTAGAAACCCAACACATCCTTCCTAAGCTAAAGCCCCCGGGTCCCAAGCTGGTTGTGGCAAGTTGGGGGACCTCACTGCTGGCACCACAATAGCAAAGGCATGCGGGGACCACTACCCCATAGCCCCGCAGACCCTTGCAGTTTGGGTGTCTCTGGGAGCAGTTTCAGGGTCAGGAACAGCACTCAGCCCCTGCCCCTCGTCCTTCCTCCCAGCAGCCCAGTTCGGACTGGGAGCCACTGGGACACCCACACAGATGCAGGGCTGTCACTGCTCTCTAGCACACAGCTCCAGTGGGTCCCTCACAGGCTGCGGGTGCTGAGCCCTCCTGCAGGTTGCAGTGTGGCCAGGGGCCAGCCCAGGTGGCTCCATCCCCCAGCAAAGCCCACAGACTTTAGACGGAGTCAGTTTTCCATTTCCCACCGGAGACTGCACTGGGGGATGCATCCCAGCCACCACGGGAAGCAGTGGTGGGCACAGGACCAACAGCCATGGCCAAGTTAATTGCTGGTTTAAATGGAAGTTAATGGAGTTACACTGGGTTAACAGGACAGTAAAATGAGCATCATCCGCACTGGCAGCTTCCTGACAGCCTGCCAACAGCATACCCAGGGCTGGGCAGCCACGGGCACACAGAGGTTTGGGGCAGTATGGTCCCAAGGGCTCCCTGGGGCACCTGCATGGGGCCGAGGAAACGTGCTCTTGGCCAAGCACTGTGATGGCACGCCAGCCAGGCCCCTGCTCCG